GGAGGCGGTCTCTCAAGTACTCAGATCTCAGATCCACTAGAATAGAATAGAATAGAATAGAATAGAATAGAATAGAATAGAATAGAATAGAATAGTGATTGGGAATATAAGATATAGATATAGATGATATTGCATATTGAAATTTGATGTTGGAGAAGACTCCTTAGAATATGTGAAGACAAATTCTTGAGAAGTCTATCATTCTAGAAAAGTATGTAATGATGGGTATCATTAATTCCATCCACTCAATGACATATGAAACTAATACACCTATCATTACATCATTTACCTAGTTGCAAAAGCAAGAAGTCTTCATTATGTTATATAGTAACTAACCTGCTAACATTTCTAATGCAATGACAAAATATCTGTATTAGCAATGGGTCTAAGAAGTCATTGTTCCCATTTAATGTAAATCATTGGTTCATTTGTGTGGTATATATTCTTGTAACATATGTGTTACTGTTTGGTCATGGGAATCATAAAGTTAATAATACTAACCATCTTCATCATTCCTAAAATGCAACACCAACTTGCTGGTATATAATCAAATTATCATGAGATACACTTTAGCAATTGCACTTAAACTCCTCACTGTCTTAGCATTTAGAAAAACAGCAAAGATTCATTTCTTCTGCTAGGTATTTAATTGTTACAAGCTGTAAGAATCAATTTAGTGGTAGAAGAATTGACTTCAGTACAAAGGAGAGGGAAGAAGGAAGAAGACAGACTGGTAGAAGAAGTTTCGGAACATTGCTATGGATAGGGAAGGCTGATTGTTATTGGCAGAATGAGCACTTTGTAGATAAAACAATGTCCTGGTGAAAAAAGAAGAAATAGCAGGAGGTTGAATGTCATATAGTGTACTGACCTTATTTAGTTAAATCTTTGGAAGCTATTTAATATTTATCTATGGATGTTTTTTATATAAAAAGGTTCTTAGCATTACATCAAGATATACCGTATACAAACAAGTAATTAAAATTTGTTGGAATGATTTCATACTTGGTATGTATGAAGTATGTAAGTAATAAATATACATGATGCTTTTTTAAAAGGAATTTTCTTCATTCCCCATTAATAGCTGCTAAAGTTTGATCAATGGATTACCGTAATTGGAAACATTTATTTGTAAGATTAAGAATTGGAAAGATCCCTAACCTTAAAAATATTTTTTAATATTTTTGCTATAGATTGATTAGACTACTTGTACATTTTACTAAAAGTATAATATTGTTACTTGTATTCTGACAGATACCCTACACAGCTTCCCAATTTTAACAATTGGAAGAATAGCAGCAGCAATGGTTATACAAACTCTTGCAAAATGAAATACAGTAAAGTTGGCCTTTATTTAGAAATGTAAATATTCAAATTTCTGATGAGCCACATGGGCTACTAAATGACTTTAACCTGTTGTTATATCTCAACCTGTGAGGTTCTTTATTTTCCAAAGACTGCACAGACCCTACAGTAGCAAATCTGCACACAAAAATTTATTGTAGCACAAAACTTCCCACACAATAACAGGCTACAGTTCTGGGTTAACTCCACCCTTCGAGGTCCTGCAAGTTGCTGTGGCCACATAAATGAATCTTTAATACTCAATCCTTTATATTCAGTCTTTTATACTCAGTTCAACCCAAAGTCTGTAAAGTATCATATAACCTTTGCTTTTTTCCCCAAAAGTTCTTGCATTAGTTGGGATCAGATGCTATTTGATGTTGGGTGTTTTCTCNGGTACAAATAATATTTAGTCCCTTCCAATATTTCATTGCCATTAATTTTTAAGTTATCATGGGAGATAGCTATCACATTAAAATCTTACCTGTACATGAAAAATCATCAATCCGGATATATCCTGGGACACAGTTGCAGCGATATGATCCAGGCAAATTAACACACACTGTATTGGCATGACAATAATGCATCTTAGCAGCACACTCATCAACATCTGCAGGGAGGAAAACAAGTCTCATGAAACTGCAATCAGATGCACAACTCCTACTTTCATAGATGCACAATTGTAACAGGAAACATAGTATATACAAGCCTCCAAAATATATTCCCCAAACCAGGCTGTTGGGAAATTTAATTCTGCTATCAACATTGGATGTACGTATTTCTGCTTGTTGCCATCTTTAAAGTTAATATAAATAGATGCTTTTAGTGCTTTTAAAAAATATTTCTCTATTACTCTACCACCAGTCAAATGTGGGCAAAATGTAGAAATTAAAATAGGAAAAGAACGAAAGTTAACTATTAATATTTAATTAAGTCAATAAGAATAGAGTGTTTAAATGAGAAATTCAAGTGCATTCTCATACTAGCTTCCTCGATTTTTTAGGCAGAATTTCCAGATGAAATGAGTTGTGCCAAAGATAAGTGTCACATATTGTAAGCTTAGGACAATATAAGGTGTAATGGATATATTCAAATGTTTGCCTAGAAAAAAAAAAGTATTAATCCTGAATCCAAAAAACGTAACCATTATTAACGTCAGATAAAAACATCAAGTTGCATCTTCAATCTCAACTGAAAACAACATACATTAACATTTAAAAATTAATATCCCAAATAGCCATCTATTCTTTAGAATAGAATAGAAATCAGGACAACATACATTAACATTTAAAAATTAATATCCCAAATAGCCATCTATTCTTCTGAAGCAAATATCCATTGTTCAAATGAATTATCTTCACTCTGATTCAACAAAGCAACGCTCCCTATAAGAATATCATTTTGAATTGTGTAAAAGGAAACTCTAGTGATTCCATTATCTTTTTTACTTTTAATATAATATGATCATGGTAAAATCTGCTGACATCCAGGGAATTCTCAACAGCTTTTTAAAATTATCATATTAAAAGGAGCACCAAAAATAGTTCTGAAAGGGAAGGCTTGTCATTTATCTCTGAAATTAACATTTTAAACATACAAATTTCAGTAAATTTCTATCACGTGTAATTCAACAGATACCTCAGACATAAATTGCTTTACTCACTTAAAAAAGACATTAACGTTTTTCCAGGTATACACATTCAGCACTGTCCTAACATTTNCAATTGGGGTTGTAACTCAAGGACTACCTGTATTGGATTCTATATTTGTTGAAAATTTACAAAGGTACGGAGGTCTTTAGTGATACTTTTTACATTTTCTATGTTTAAGTTCAAAATTTCAGGATGGTAATTAATTCCCACATTCTTTCTGATTTACCAAACCAAAAGTGAATCTGAAACATGGAGAATGTCAAATAGATCTAACAGAAAACTTAAAAGAGATTTAATGTCTTGAATTAGATTCAGCTGTAAATAAGTAGGCTGCAATATTTTGCTAACATAAGTATTAGTTTTCGTATCCGAATTTATATCTGAATAAGATAAGATACAATGAATTAAAAGTTTACAGTGACCTAAATCTGAGAATCAGAGAAGTCACTTGGTAATCCTGTTCAAGCAGTTTCCCTACTCCTGAAACTATTCAAAAGAAAAAGACACAGATGGTATAAAAGCAACATATTTCTCTCCTAAATGCACCCCTCTGACTTCAGACCATCAAAACTTTCCAACTGGGAACTTTCTAAAAACTGCATGTGATAGACTACACAAAATTGCAACCCAAAATGTCAGAGAAGCAAATCCTCAAAGCATTTCACTGAGGCGAAATCACTGTTAGGATTTTTTTATAAACTGAACTCCCTCACCAGTGCTGTACTGAAGATGTGGAAGAAACTCAGGTTTTAGCACAAGATCTATTTCAAGTATAAGTGAGAAACTCCTTTACAGATCCACCTAAATTTATGATCTACTTAACTTAATGAAAGGTCTCTTCATTAAATGAAAGTCTGAATCTGTTTTGTATTTAAGAAGGCACCATCCTCCTAAACACTGATTATTGTATGGAATATAATACAGTTGCAAAGTTAACTATTGTTTACCAGGCTAAATATGCAGGTGGAAAACTCAGATTAAAGAAAGAGTTGGTGATCCACTGATCCACTGGAAGTGCCATCATCTATGTATGATTTGTATCATTCTTTTGTGAAGGCTTGAATCACTGAATTCAGTTAAATCAAAGAAAGATCAAAGAAGTGCATCAAAAGCATTACTACTGAAATTGAAAGGAAACCGCTTGTGATGTGAAGATTAGAAACCAATATACAGAGTCATGGGATAAAAGGAACATTACTGGCATGGCAGTTATTTTGGCATCCAAAACAGAAACCTTTGCAAGAGCTAGCCCACACTATAGTACAGGAGTCACCAACCTTTCGGACCTCAAGGACCACTAAATTCATAATTTTAAATCCAGCAGAGCACTAATATTAATTTTAAAAAATAGATAAATAGTATTTAGTGCAATATAAAAAATGCAAATAATTTTTCTGTGGACCCCCAAACTTTTCTCACGGACCAACAGTGGTCCACGGACCAACAGTTGGTGACTGCTTTAGTGCACTACAACAAGATGTATAAATGAAGCTTTAGGGTTTGAATTATTATAAGCACAACTGCATCCAGAACCAATTAACAATGAAAAAAATATTTGCTCCTTTGGATACTCAGTTTCATCTGGGTGAAGCAATTTAATCTATGTATTTCTGAATTTGTTCCATTTCAGGAAGCTCAAACTAATTCTAATTCATACAGAGATTCTCTCTTGAATATCTGATAACTCCAATGTCAAACAAGTAGCACTCTTTTTGATATAGTTCCTTGATCTTTTTATTTTAGTTTATTGAATTCATTATTTTCTCTTCTCCTTTTTAATGTGTATATTAAGTCCCTGGGTGAGATCATCAGTCATCATAGGATGTGGTATCATTAGCATGCTGATGACACCCAGTGCTATCTTTCCGCCCCTGGTGAATTAATCAATGCTCTTAATGCCCTATCCTAGTTCCTGGAAGCTGTAGAGACCTGATGGAGACCAATAGGATTCAATAACTGGCAAGACTAAATGGCTTTGGGTTTTGGCAACAGTTTGCTTCCAGATGCAATTCAAGGTATTGGTTTTGACTTTTAAAACTCTCCACGGCATGGGATTGGGTTGTTTCTCTCCCAATATCTCTCCAACTACATCTGCCCATCCCATTAGGTCTGGCAGAAGACTGATGCTGTGGATCTTACCCACTAAAGAGTTTCTTGGCATGATCCAAAAGGCGGGTCTTTTCTGCCATAGCCCCCACCTTATGGAGCATCATTTCCCCTGAGATGAGATTGGCCCCATCCCAGGTATCCATTAGGAAGTCCCTTAAAACATGGTTGTGCCAACAGGCCTAAGACAATGGGGAATTAGTGAGCTGGCTTTATTGTTTATATCAATAATTATCTCTGCAAAGAGAGGGGGAGAGGAAGAGAGAGGGAATGAGAATCACCTAGGACAGTTTACAATATATCATAAATAAATAACAAATAATATAAAAAGTTATAATGGCAGATCTCCATGTACACAGTCTTGTTGAAACAACATGGTGTAATCACTTTATAAAAGCTAAGATGAGAAATTTCATCACATTGAAGACTAATCACAAGAAGGCAAGCCTTCAGGTCCCCATTTTTTTCCACCTCCCAAGGTGTATGCATTCAGCAATCCTTCTCAGGATGAATATATAAAGGGGGACAGAGGCTATGGTCCTGTAAACAGTTTCTGCAATTCTCAAAAGGCAGATAAATTGCAATTCTGTTATCATCGATTGGGTGTACAGTTTACAGAAGGCCCATCTCATAAGTCAATATACTGCAGAGTCTCTGTTTATTTTCATTCTATGAAAAAGGATAAAGTAACATTCACCCCCCTTAAAAATGCAGGAGAAAGACTTCCACAAACTCTTTTAACTTAATTGTATGTAATGTTCTGCAATTAAAATTGTACTATGCTCTAACAAATTACATGCTCTGTGGATAGTCTTTAAATTTAGAAAAAAGGACATTAAAAATATTTTACACCTAATGCCGATATAATAAGGGATTTTTTTCATTAATGTATTCCAAATATATTATGAAGTAACATTTAACAGAAAGGCATGATAAGAAACATTTATATAAACTTTTCACAAATACAAAATACAGTGTCATTTATTTTCCAAATACGCAGATTAAAAAGCTACTATTCTATTATGGAAATTATTCCAAGACAAATGTACAAACAGAGACATTAAAATTTGATGAACGTTCAAAGCACTTCTGCTTCTGTGATAGAGTATTGATAGAAATTCTACTCTTAGAGTTTTAATAAGGATGTTTCAATCTTTGATGCATTCCTTACAACAAACTTGCTTAAAATTCAGTTCTCAAAATAAAAGCAAGCCATACACCAAATATAAATTCACATTACTGAGGAAAACTACTTGCTTTTGAGACATATCTTTTCCTTTGAATACCAATTAATTTCAGTAAATGTAACAGTAAGGGCCACCAAATCATTTGAATTGGATATACATAAAGAACAACCAATTTTCTAACATCATATAAGCTATTAAAAGGCCAAGCATTTAAAAAAATATGGGTATATACTGTACATTGAGATTGGTAGAAAGTAAAATGTGTTTGTTATAATTACTACATTGATTTTAAAGGAAGAAGTCACATTTTACATGGGTTTTGACCCTTTCTCAAATGTTTGATTGAGCTTCAGGGTATGAATATAAAATAGTTTAAGAATTGGCCTTTTAAAATGATCATCTCAGACATCAAAGGTTGATTTAAAAAAAACACTAAGTAATTTCATCTTGGTTTCATCTCATCACTTCTCCACTCAAAGACACTTGTATTATGTGCCCAATGACCCAATTAGTCCTGGCACCACATCATTTTTAAAATGAAGTGGACAGTTCCTGAATAAGCACTAAACAAATCCAATAAAACCTTCAGGATATATTTTCAAGAGCAAGAACAAACCATCCCAAAGACTGCATCAACTCCCCCAGAACAAGAGCTTCAACAGCTC